TCGAAGAGTGGGGATCCCGCCGAGGAGGACATCAGCCAAGGATGATTGGCTTTTGTTGGAGGACCATCAACATGGCAAGAAGATCACGGTGAGGGAGCACATGCAAGATCGAAAGAAGATGTACGATTTTGAGACCACCAGGCTTTGGGACTTGGATGAGTGGAGCCCGTGGCGAATGACGATCGCGTGGCAGGTGGTCGGAAGCACGCTCGGGAAGACCAAGCTGATCGTGGTCGACCAGCGATCGGGCCGGAAGGGCTGCTACTTGCCGTTCAGCTGGGTGGGCTACACGCTCTTTAAGACCGGCTAGAAGTGAGGAAGGGGGCTTGAGCACACCTCCAAAGAGGAGGATGGCTTTTTGGCAATTTGTGACCCCGTGTTCGGCCATCGGCCAAAGGGGGAGTGTGGGTGCACAAATCGAAGTGTACCAAGTTTCGAAGGCCTTATGGCTATGATCGCACCGGAGCCCTTTTTTAGCACAGAAAAGGAGCGGATCACGCTCACGGAGAATTAACGGCCAAAAATTGAGATCCTCGAATCTAAACAGCATGCCTACCCCCGCCTCTGATCAAAACGATACACTGCGATGCCCCAGCCTGCACAGGCTGGCTGCCCCCAGCCAAATCTCCCAAATAAACACCAAAGAGTCAAAGAGTCATGGTCGGACTCTGCCAACGCCAGGCCTGCAGCTGTTGGCACCTTGCCCGCAAGTTTGTTGACCGGACAAGAGCCATCCACAAAAAGGTGCCAAGCAGGGCCACCTGCAAGGAACTGGAGGACTGGTCCCACACCACCCAGGACCGCAAGTGTTCAGGAGAGTTGACCGGCAAGACTGAGCACTACAAAGCGGCTGACTAAATCTGCACTCTGATCGAGAATCTCATCTCTACCCTGTTTGGCCCACTGAAGTCCACCTTCGGCTTGTGGTTCCCGATCTTCAATGGCTTCTCCCAAACGCTCCTATCGGCATCTGAAGGATCTGTGAGTCGTGTTCCTCGTCCCTGCAGATCTTTCCGTCCCTCTTTCCCCTGCCTTCAGCGCCTGTTCCAATTTTGGAGCCTCGCCTCCCTGCACCAAGACCTGATCGCAAAGGCCGCTAAGGAACCAAAAAAGATAGAAAAAAACGGTGCACCGCGGAACATGTCGCGAGGTAGTGGATCGTTGAAGCTGTTACCAGCCGCTTGGACAACAGTCGTGCAAATTCTGATCCACTTTGCCCTACACGTTCGGACTCTGTACCATTCTCCAACTGCCATCCAAAGCACAGTACCCCCCGGCCAAACGTTGACAAAGGCTTTGAAATTCACCTCGGTGCACAAAGAATCAATTTTGATCTCTAGCCTCCCGTGACTCACTGACTCTGTGCAAGGGAGCGACACACTTGTGTTGGCGCAATGCCCGAGGCAAGCTGCTCCAAATCGGGGTTTCACCCAAGCTCCTCAAAGCCTGCAGCGATTGTTTCCCGACTGTGCCCGCTCAGGTGGCACGGAGTCATTCTGATCGCACGCAACACTGACAACACAAGACATCGGTCCGTCCTGCTCCACTTGTTCCAGGCTGTATGGCTGCGATAGGCGGCCCATTCAGCTCTGTCACGCTGCAGGCCCTAGCAAGCCCTTCGTGAACTGAGAGGATGGAGAAATGCAAAGAACAGTCTTCTTCGATACTTGTTGCGGTGGATTTGGTGTGGCGCAGGCTTGTACTTACTATCCTCAGTGGTATGCTTGCACAAGGGTCGCGGGCTGCTCTTCGTCTTCTCTTGACTTGTTCTTATTTCCTTTTGGTTCTGCTGGTGGCCCCTGTGTTTTGCTGCTTCCTTGCTTTTCGGATTATCGTTTGTAACGACTGCTTCTCCTCCCTCCCTCCCTCCCTCCCTCCCTCCCTCCCTCTCTCTCTCTCTATCTCTCTCTCTCTCTCTCTCTCTGGCGGGCATGAATCGTCCCGGAGTCGTCTCACAGAGACCCAGCGGCAACTTCCCCTAAAGGCCGGAGACCAAGGGGCAAAACAGAACCAATATGGGAGACTAAGATGGAAAAATGCAGACATCTGCCGGGGCAGGGACAAGACGAAAAGGACTGTGCAGGCATCCGCAAAATGCGGGAAGGAGCTAGGCAGAACGCTACCAGATGCGGGGCTCACTAAACTCAGAAGGCAACAACCACACACCATACTCTCCCAAGTGCGTCGGTCTTGTGCCAGATGTTTCCAGGGTGACAGTGGTAGAGCGGGCAAACATATTCATCTAAGACCAGATCTAGGCCGGTAGGAGGGAAGCGTCAAGGTTGGACTCAGTGCCTGGCGGAATGCCACCATTCTAAGTTTGTTGCGGTTTGTATTTTGTTGTGGGTGCCCCTTGCCTTGTTTATGTTTTTTGCTCGTTGTTACCGTTATATAACTGTCGCATGTTGTGCTTCTTTGCTTCTTTGCTTTTGCTGGTGCCCGACGCTCTTACACTGTTCCTTGATTGGCTTTTCGTGATTCAGTCTTGTCCTTCCCTTTTCCTGATCAGAGAAACTTTCGTGACCGTGGCTTGGGGCAATGGAGGACTAGAACAGGGACAATGTCGAGTCCCATTGTTAACCCGTACACCCTCTTCAACGCTTTGGGAGGGCTTTTTCGACCTCCAAGGGTAACAAGACAGGCAGCGTGTTCCGCCCAATGGACATGGCCCGGACATGGCCCATTCGGCGAAGAGAATCATCCAGGTGGGTGACGGCATTTTGGTGAAAGCCCCATTTTGCCCTTCAAAGCTACGGCACCAAAGCTCCAGCGAAAGAAACATAGACCAGGGAGGGCATGCGCCAGGTGTACAAACCTACTTCGGTCAATGTGCCCATGTCGCCAGATGTCTTCCATCAACCAGCCCTTGGCATTTGGTATTTTTAGATGCTTTTTCTGCCTCTTGGTTTTGCCATTTGCTCTTCCTGGATTCTGGTGCTTTTGTGCAACCCAAGTTTTGCGGCTGTCTCTTGTGTTTGTAAGACTCGCCGCTGAACGGGCCTTAGGGTTGTGCCAGCGCAGTGATTCCTGCTGGTACGGAGTGCGGTCCCCGAGCCAGTAACAACCTGTGCGACATTCTAGTTTAGTTCCAAAACACTCTACAGTTTTTATTACAGTAATATACATATCCGTTTGATGCTCTCAACTAAACCTCAAACAAGCAAAAAAAGCAAACATATCCCCACAAACTCAGGAATCCCGGTCTCTCTGTAGTGCATTTTTTTGCATGGTGTTTTCTGCTTGGTGCTTTGGATATGTCAGTCTTGCATAAATTTGTCCATACTGCACACCCTGGTAAACACGTTTCTGCAACTAGGTAATCCTTCAAACCTCATCAAAATTCATTGTCTCGAAGGACTGCCTGTGAGCCAGAGTGCAAGCAGGTTTCAGAGAATCTGCTCAGCCATAGTGGCCACCACAAATTGAAAAGTGGACTCTAATCAAAATGGAATCGTTTCTATGTATGTATATATATATATATATAGTTGCTAGCTCTCGCTATAGCTGCAATTTGGGGATGCTCAACCCTCAACTGCAAACCCCCGAAGCACAATCTCTGAACAGGAATGTCGATGTGCATTGAAAGAGGCAAAGACCTCAAACAACCCAAAAAAAGAAATATATATATATAACTGAGGCCTCTGCAATCCAAGATAGCAATGCAAGTAGGAACCACCTGAGCTTGACCTGACAGACGCATGGCTTTACAATGGGCTCATGGCCATCAGCCGCGTGGTTGAAACTTCAGTTTACCATACCTTCTGTTCTTCCCACTCTCTTCGCACCCACGTCGTCTTAGTCTTGGCTGAGCTGGGCCTTGAGTCGTGTAGTTCTTGGCGCTGGCATGCCTCAATGGCTGATGGCTTTTGGCCGCCTTTGCTTGCAATTTGTCCCTCATATTTGCCCACAGGCCTGGGCAAGCAGCTTGTCGACTAAGCTCAAGAACTCAGGCCATCACCGAGGACTGGTAAGCGTGGTTTCATGTGCTTTCTCCTCGTCTGTGATCCAGCATGCTCAATGTGCTTCTTGGTGGGTCTGTGTGGTGATTCTAAACCAATTTTTCGGATAATCTTGTAAGGTGCGCATTTCAATGAACTTGAGGTTGATCATGAGTGTCGGTCAAGCTGTCCAACGGTAGGACATGCTGCAAAGGATTTGGAGAGAGCATGTCCATATTGTGGGGGGCTAGCTCAACTCGTTCCCCCGTTTCGGGAGCCAAGATCCAACCAAGATCTGCATCAAGGCGACCAGCACTTGCTAAAAACCACTATAACCACGCTGCAGTCGCTCAGCCCAAGTGAATGGCAAGTCAAAACTATGTTATATACGAAGTTGAAAACGGGAAAATCCGCAGCACAAAAGCGGGAAACCTTTCATCCACAAACAAAAAGTAAAAGGACCGGGGTACAGCCCCTTTGACACCGTGTTTGCTGCACCTGAGGTTCGTGATACATTTGCCCCATCAAGGCGGATACCAATGTGGTGACATGGAAAAGTGGAAATGCTCGCTGAGCACTCCCTGAGCCACCACACCAAAGTACCCTGCATGAAGCAAAGCAAAAAGGTTGCAAGTGGTTAAATCTTCTAAGCCCACTTGAGAGTCGGCAAGGCCGTCTTCCAGGATCGACCCGCCGTAGTCTCAAGCAAGCAGACACTTGAACTAGAAAATCATGGGCTCTCACAAGCCAGCTCTTTGGGTGCCTAGGCTGCCCTTCCTGAAAAGCAAATGGCTTGGCGTACATTTTACAGCAAGAGGTTCTCACTCATGTGAAACACTGCTCTTGGAAGGCGGGTTCCAGAGGCACCGTCTAGACGCAGCTAATTCTTGGTATTTGGTATTCTCAGAATGGTCAGAGTCACCGATGGATGGTTTCCTCGAGTGATCATCCTGAGGAGCCATTTCAATGTCCAGAGGGCCTCTCCAGAGAGGGCCTTTTTTGGATAGATTTCAATCTGAGGCTCGGGCCCAATCTCCACATCAAGCTGAATATGTCGTTCGCTCAGGCAGGAGTGGCCTTACATCTCAGTAAAACTGAAGGTCTGAGGTGGCCTTTCATCTGGGCTCTGAGCAGAGGAGATGGAGAAGCCACCAGTCTTACACCTTAGCCACGTCCCAACATCTGCCACCAATCGGTGCCTCAACCAGGTCATCCCTCCATCCATCCATCCATCCGTCCGTCCGTCCGTCCATCCATCCGTGCTCTTGGTTTTACTACTTTGGCCCTGGCCTTCCATCTGTTCCATCTCCAGTGAAGCTCCTCTGAGCTCCCGCGCAGGCGCAAGGCTTTCACCAAGCTCTTCCGCCAGGCCTCACAACCTCCGCCGTTCACGAAGGCCCTCCGCGTCCCTCCGACGGCACCATCCCTCGGGGCACGACTGGAGAGATACGACCCTGCATCCGCGGCATCGTCCGAGGCATCCGCGGCGTCGGCGGCCTGAAAAAGAAGAGTTGGATCAATCGCATGAGAATCCCGAGCGCAAGTGATGGTCGTAAAAAAATGCTTGAAATGCTCTCACACAAATGCATTCATGGCATTCGCTTCCTCCAAATGGGCTGTGAGGCAGAGGTATTCGCTCATGATCACGCGGACGCTGTCCTGTGAATTTGATATGACTCTTAGTCGAAGTCAAAGTCAGCCGCTGAACCCTGAAAGGGCAAGGAAACATAGCTGGCACGAAGAGCCGTCTCAATTCCATTCAATGCACGCTTGGTGGTTCAAACAGCCGTCCTGCTGCACAAGTTCCTTGTGTGTCTCATCGATGTGTTTCCTTAGAATGTCATGAAGAATTGCCCCAGCTTTCTGAAGTACAAACTTGTCGCAAAAAAAAGATCCCAGTGACAAAGTGACAAGGACTTACAGTACCTAAAACTTGAGATGGACCCTTTATCAGAGACCTTGCCCAGAAATTCCATGGACACTGGCAAGTGCTGCTCAGGGCATCAAGGCAACCCCGCTCCCAACAACATATGTATATGTGTATATATATATATATATATTATATTCCTATTGTGTATGGCGCATGTCAATACAATGAGCATCAGAAACTGGGAAATGGCGTGACAAAATTTTAAGGCAGACCTGACACTACGGTGAGTCATGTTTCCCATCCCACTTTCCAACCAATGCGCCACCAAGCATGGCTGCCCGGGTCTGCATCCCGTGCACGTGCCAATGCATCCAGAGCAGGCCTAATTTGTTCATGCCATGCAGAAGCTGGAATGTGCTGGAACCGTCAACAACGCTGATGCTCAACAAGAGAATCAGTCTAACAATTGGAATGAACCCAAAATACGATAAAATGCTCACAGGGCTGCTGTGGCACATCAAACCGAATATGATGTTGATGTGCATCTTCAATCTTTGTATTGCATTGCAACATGCATCCCTCCTTACCAGGCCTGATCCTATCATCTTGCTCGTAGCTCCAACGACCTTGGCGAGGAGCATAAAAATCACAACTCAATTGAAACAGGACTTGAGTTCCCGAAATCAATGGAAGCAAAGGAAGGAATACTCAAGCTGGTTTCCTCAGCCCATTGCTCCTGGCACACAGGAGTCGCAAGAACCTCGTGACGAGGGGTGTCTCGACACGGTTGCCAAGTTTGTGCCTCTAAGGCGAGAGAAAAACAACGAGAAGGTGCCGATAGCCTGCTCAGATCACAGTTGACTGTGCCCTCCTTACCTCTTCGGTTGCCTGCCTTTTGGACATTCCCAAGGCCACAGCTCAATAGCATCGCTGCCCTTCCTGGCCACCTTATTGAGGACCTCATCGCCACATGTTCGCTGTCCGCCAAAATACATAGAATACAATCTCCAATAGAAGGAAAGCCGCTTCTATCAACCTTCAAGTCACTGTATGCAGCATGGGTATGTACATATACACATACATAAATATATATATATATGTGCGTGTATAATCACCCGGCTTGATCATTTCCAGTGTTGCACCTGCAGTGTCCATCAAGGGTTATGGCCGCCATGGCCCAAATCGTCAAGCTTTGCTGTTCACTCAGGACTTGGCTTGGCACAACGAGTCATCAATGTGAGATGTCTCCAGCAAAATCAACGGCCTGCAACGTTCGAAAATCTCGCATACGCTGAGTTAATGTTCATACTTCAATCGCGAAGCTGAGTTAACAACGTTCAGCTTCACATGTTGGGACACTTCGGTGACAACAAAAACAATGATCTGAGGCCTCGCTTCTTCATCGTCCATGAATATCTTCATGATGGGCCTGACCTGGTGGCTTGTGCAATGACAGTCAAAACGGTGCCAACAGAAAACCGAGTCTGATGCCAAGTGTGGTCGAATAATGTACCTCTGCAGGTTCAAGGTCAGGTCAACTAGTGTAAGCCCCGTTCTCATCCCAGAGTGAGCAAAATGATCTATTGTACTGTATGTAAATCCATTGCCCGCAGCGCGCATTGTGACCCGCACAAATAAATCAATCCACCGATCTCAGCTTCTCACGTAAAACTTGGTTCCTCCTTCGGGTGAAGCGTAAAACCTGAGGGTGATGGGGTGAGCACACCAAACAAATACAACAATAGAGACGAGCACATCTTTGTTCATTTCAGATGTATAAGCCCTGTACAGTTCCTATACTACCGATGATGGCTTGCTGTACCAACTGACCAGCCATGTACAGAAGTCTCTGGTCAGAACACATCTAGGCGCCAACCATAAGTTCTGTAGAGCAGCATGTTGGACCTTCACCAGCTGGAATGGCTAAGTGATTGCCGGAGCTTACAGTTCTTCAAAGGGATTTGCTGTCTCTTGTGGCTCCAAAATCAACTTACCTGGCTCCATAGGTGGTAAATAGTTCTTCACCAGGACTATGGGCCTCAGAGTGCCGCTGCAAACATCAGGACGCGCGCGCGAGCAAGTTGTTGACTACTTTCCTCTTATATCCAAGCTGGAAAGTGCGGGAATTGCACGCTGAGGACAAATGGGCTGCCCACCCGGACAGCCGTCACAATCATGGCCTCTGCCTGGAGGGCTGAGGGGGTTGAGCAACTGAAATCCCTCGAACCTGGATTGCTGGATTGAAGATGGGTCAAAGTAAACAACACCAAAACGCTACAGTAATTTGTTCATCTCGGCATGCCTACTGTCCACAGCATTGACAAAAGCCCTCGAGGTGAGATCGGTAATGCTGGTGCGGCCTCTGCATCCCAGCTCCACAAAACTCCCGGAGTCAAGGTGGGCGAATGGTTGAGTCTCAGTTCAGCAACTGCTATCTTATCTTCCTTTATATAGTTTCCTTCCTGTCCATGGGCTCGAAGCATCGTGTGTAAGTCTCCCACAGGTCTGCCACTGGCACCAGTGTCGTGTCCACACCTCAAGACAGTACCCCACAGAACGTGAACCACTAAAGTTATGCCAACCGCCGGCCGCTGATGTTTTACAGGTTGAGCGCCTGAAAAATTAAAAAGAGAAGACTTTAAGACAATTTGTCGACTGCGGCGGCTGCGTGTTCCCGAATCTGAAATGCACACCAGTGAGGGATGGAAATTGTTCGGTGGGGTTATTCCGACCTCTTCTTGGGCGGCCTGGGCCTCCTTGGTCCTTAGCCCTGTCAAGAATCAGCCAGTGCAAATTCCCACCCATCTCAGAAACAGATCTGGGTGACCAGCATGTCTGGAAGACCCTGGTTTGCCTTGGCACCAGGACACCGGGCACTCACCTCTTGGGTTTCAACGGCTTGGGCGGCCAAACGCGCTCATGCGCGCACGCAAGAACATCTCTGCCTGGCTTTTCCAGCTCTTGCCAAGTTCTGTCATAAGCTGAGGAAACTTCGGAAACCTCACCAAAACCGTCTCGCCTCCACGTTCTCCGGCATGCCTGCAGCCTCACTCGACCTGACTTGAACTCAAAAGAAAGAGAGCTTCATGCTGTCAAACCGTGCCATGATCCACCAAGCCCCATCACCCCCTCTCCGCCTCAGCATGGTCTCGTGCAAGCTCATCAGGTCAGTGGCCTGAGAAACCGACCGGTTGGGTCCCAACAAGGTGCGGGTTCCCTCGACCAGGCTGGGTTGAGCCACATGGCCTCATTCTTTGAACACAGCCTTAAAAAGGGTTCCACTCTTTGCGCACGGCATGAAAGACATTTTCGGTGCATGGCACAAGCATGCCTTTTGTTTGCAATCTTGTCTGCTCGGAAATGCACACGCAATGAGAATGAACCAAACATGAGCCACGGATAGAAAGAACAGGCTTCACCGTCATGGCTTATAACTTCTCGCAGTCCTGGCTAACTTACAAGCAGGGACGCTTGTAGGCTTAACACATGGCCTGAAGCTTCTTGTTTGTTGAAGGCATGTGAGTGGATCATCAGGCATACCAATGCCTACCTCAACTCTGCGGCGCCTCCTCAGAAACTGAAGAACACACCTCGTGTTCACGAGCTCTGCCGGCAGCTGGACACCCTGGCGCCCACTTAGTTGAGCAAGCTTCTTCTGGCGTGCAACTTTTGGAGCGGCTGCTTCCAGTAGACCAAGTCAATGGAAAAAGTGTCCGCTGCGAGGAGGCCCTGGACAAGACTTCTCAGCACTCAGCACACCGCCCACCGGCGAAAGCCGGGAATGTCTCCACAATCCAAACTCTCTGGGCGACTTTGTGCAACGAATGAAGGCTCTTTCCGCGGGCCACATATATCCATTACATGTGGAGCCGGAGCAAAACCTCCAGTGTGCGAGCACTATTGCACGCTCTCGCACATTCCACCAAATGATTTTATGATGTACTGCCAGCTTGGCCATCAAACTCACTCATTCCTTCTCGAAGGAACAAAGCAACAAGTCCATGAAACACAACTGACCCAATCTGTTTTCTGACTTCCTTTAGCCTCCAGCCATGTCAATGAAGTACTCAGCCTCCTGGGATGGTGTCAAATCTCTCCGCCTCCGAAAACATCCAAAAGCCGGAAAAGCCATGGAAAATGGAAACATGTTCAAAGCACTGCTCAATCTAATCTGGAATAGACCAATAGATTGATCTAGATTGCATCTTGAACTGCTTGTGGCCATAGCTGTTGAGGGTGGCACATTTCAGCCGGACTGCAAGCAGCCAAGCGGAATGGATGATATGAAAAATCCTGCCAGTTTGTTGCGGGTCTGTGATGACATGTTCAAGCCTCACACACACGCACACAATATATATATATATACACATATAGACATTGCCGCTGGAAATCAGGAAATCCCCAGCTCCTCTGTCAGAAGAGTGTCGGCATAAGCTTCCCACACCTGCGCAACACAAAAGAATCCAACCCAAAAAAAGGCCTTCTGCTTTTTCGCAAAAGTCTTCTGCCTTGCGTTGGCCTTCCGTTGCCGTCCAGCGACGAAAGGCACTGCTCGCCTGGTCGCCCGTCGCGGACGAGGTCAGAGGTTCGCGAGACTCTCTCGGTCCGCCTGGAGGTCACCGGAGACTGCTCGGTCCTGGTCGGCTCGACCGGTCGTGGGTCTGCCAAATCAAGATGGGTCCGATGAATGAGTCGGGTCTGAACCTGAGCATCGGCCAGCAAGCGGGCCACGAAAAAGGCGTGCAGCGCCTCCAGACCTAGGCCACGCACAAATCCTGCATTGGCCAAAGCTTCGGCAGGGCGGCATCTCTTCATGAACAGCCTGCGACTTGCGTCAAGAATCCTCCACCAGAGCTGTTGACTGAGGTCACCGATTTCATTCACAAGAAAGGGGAGGAAAGGAATGTCATGGAATCTGGAAAACAAATCCAAAATAGATATATGGGTAATTATGGGTTACATGGACAGATTCGACAAAATGCGTTACAGTAATCGATTCCACCCAACGCAATGCTGTCTCGGGTGGCCACGACGTAGCTCCGGCAACGAGCTCCTTTCAGGGCTGATGCCGTCACTTTCATGCCGGGCTTTGTTTCATTGTAAGCTGAGGCAATCACGATCTGGCGGCCTTGATGGAATGTCACCCCAGGAGGTTGAAATAAAATCTCTCGAAGCAACTGCATTGAAACTCACAAGCTGCACTGCATGCAGTGAATGCATTTAGCCAGGCCGCTTCGGCAAGAGCAGGGGCTGCTTTTTCCACAGAGGGTGGCCTAAAGAGATGGACTTCTGCACCATAGTGCGGTAAAAAAAGAAGGAAGAAAAAAGGTGAGAGCCTCTTTAATAGGGCCTCTCCGGTTTGTACTGAAAAAAAAGCACCTCACAAGCCTGATTCCAAGTCCCTTCCACTCCAACTTTGATCCATGCCGTGCTCGCTCTCGCTCTCGCTCTCGATCTCGCTCTCGCTCTCTCTCTCTCTCTCTCTCTTTCTCTCTCTCTCTCTCTCTCTCTCTCTCTCTCTCTCTGCGCTTGGTTTCTCTGCGTGATGTGAAACGCGCTGGGAATTCGGATCAGTTCCTCAGGACCAAAAAAAAAGTGAACAAATCATGTCCACAACCTTTGTCACTTCACTCGATTGGACCAAATAACAATTATATACTGTAACCAAATCACCGCACCTCCCCCTCCTCAATTGCTTCCACTGCCACCAAGCCGGGAATGTTCAATGGTGGGACCTCACACATCATGAAAACATTGTGTTTCAAGGATTGTCTTGAGCAACTGCTATGGGACGACTGAGCTGAGGTTCAAACGCAGCCTCGCTTAATCTTTGGGCTCACCTGGTTCTTACCGCTGCAGTTCATGTCGGTTCATGTAGCCCCGGTTTTTTGGATGAAGGGGCAGCATCAATCGTACTATTTCCCAGGAGTCGAGGACGCCAGCAGCTGCCCTACCTCCAAAAGCAAAACGTCCCTGCTGTCTGGCAAACTTGACGCGGCTGCTGGGAACTCCGGCAAAGCACCCTGCCCCTTTCGCAGCTGCAAAAAGACGCTCGACTGCAGCCTCCAGTAAACTCAATGTGGCCGGAAGTGCAAATCTGGTCTTGATTTTCATCATCAATGGGGCACTAGTACTTCCCACTTGCTCAAACATTCCCAGCTACCAATCAACCTGCTGCAAAAAAATACGCCGTAGAAACCACCCAGCCAAAAGAATCCTACCCTGCCGCCGTTGACCACTGTGGCCTCTACATCCAGGCCCGCTTCACCTCACCCGCCATGCTCCAATTGGATAATCTGGATCAAAAACCCTGTTAACCCCGCAGTCTGTTGAGACCGCAAGTCCCCCAAAGAATCCCAGGCCGCCGCTGGAAGTCTTAGCCAGATCTGCCATCACTGCCAGGTTGCTCTTTGGATCCTGCCGATCTTTCTCTTGTGGCACTGCAGCTTGTAAAGCAGAAATTCAGGGAAGTGTGCACCAGCGCAAGCAACAAATTGCAGTTTTCACCTGTTTCCAAAGCCGTGAAGCCTTTAAGTATGTCACCCCGAAGGGGAGACACAAATTTCATCTTCTCTCATTGCTGCCCCCAAGCCATCCAGCAAGCATAAACTAGTCAGTCCAAGCCAAGGGCAAAGCGGTCCCGGGTAAACTTGGCCCTGCCATAACGCAATGGTCCGGAACATGCCACAGTAAAGCAGGACTGCACAAACAAATTTGTTTAAGGCCCCAGTTCTGAAAGTGTTTCGCGACATTGATGCTGGAGCTGCACACTGCACACGACAAGCCCTAAAGTGGGAACTTCAGACTCAAAGAACTACCAGTAACTACCACTACCAAGTACACTACTATGCACCTAACACATGACCCCCGTCTTGACACAAGCTGCGAACGGCCAAAGTCCAAAGCAAACGCGGCACTCGGCTCCGCTCTGGGTGCCCCGTCGTCCATTGCTCCTCTGTCCGGACCAGCTCCACAAGGTCCCCAGGACTGCGAAAAGAAACGAATGATGCGTTGTTCAAAAAATACGATTAAAAAATATGAAAAATACACGCCTGGCGTACTCCGGGACGCACAACTGCACCTGGAGGCCGATACATAGAAACACTGTTGGAAACCCTGACGGGAACGCGTCAGTCATGGACACCTGCTCGTCGTCAGAAATAGTGACCTGCAACTTTGTCTCCCCAGGCCTCAAGGCGACCAACAAATCTGCTGCCAAGCAGCCAATGAACAATGCTGCTAGCAATATTGCCTGCTACCATTTCACAATCTGTGGCAATGACATCACCATGGACCATGGGCCATATTGATCCGAGATGCTTCACATGGGCCGGCACCAGCAACTGGAGCTTGCAATCGTCATCACCTCCACGCAGGATATGGATAAAGTTTGAGTCTTTGTCAACCAATTCTCAGGCCTGGAGCGTGCAATTTTTTGCTGTCCATGTCATAGACGGGTTGGCTCCTGACTGGGTACTGGCAATAGCTGACGCCAAACACAGAAGATATTGTCGCACGAAGCTACTGGGCGAGGCACTTTAGCACCACACACGTCCAAGGACCTCCGGACACTTTGCTGATACGGATGCGATCACCAGCCTCATCAGAGTGCCGAGCGGACCAACTCCGCTCAAAGAATGCCGCACAGTGCCCAATGGGGTCGGGAGTGGGGGATACCTTTCCACAGGCTTGGATTTTTTTGCGCTTTCGGAGTTGGAGCGTACTTTCAAGAATTGTCCGTCGTTAGGACTGGGGTCCCAACAGCAGCTTCCATTGGAACCAAAATGTGCAGTTCCGATTCATCATCCACATCAACTGCCAACCTACATCAGCACAAAAATGCGGAAGCAAACAGCCAACAAGAGCAAACTGTCCACGCTAAAATCTTTGTAAGAGATGGGCTTGGTGATCCCAGGACGCGCATTCTTGGGCACTTCCACCACAACTTGCAGCCTGCTTGAACTCTTGGTTTGGCAGACCAAGCAGCGCATCGACAAACACAGCTTCAGACCGCACCTTTTGGGCAACTGCAACCCAGTTTGGCCATCAGGCGGCGCACCCATCGCGGATGACTCACAGCGCTAAGAATCCTTTTAAGAAATCTAGTATCTAAAAATTGCAGGGAGGCCGGCCCCCACATTTGCCCCCATGAGCAAAAAAGTTGGCATGGGGAACAAAAACCTCCGTGTCACTCACACACGCAAATAACATTGTTCTTGCGACTCAACACATGCAAACTGCGCCTGGATTGATAGCATGCATCAACCTACACAATGGTTGCATGTAACAAGCGCTCAGCCAACAGCAGGAGAAACAGTGCATAGGCGCCGACACGAACAAACAAACAAACAAACAAACAGATCCCTGAATAAAAATATTTGTTTGCAAATGCCGTTTCTTTCCACAAACATGCGCTTGCTCCATCATATCAGGCATGTATTTGCATGATATGCTCTCAAAAAATCAAGGGGCGTTTTCGACACACCAACGTCCGGATCATAGCGTGAAGGCATCAAGCAGATTTCCACGGAAGGCACATAATCAAACAGGTCTTGACACCCGAAACAAAAACAAAAAATGAAACCCGAAGCACACCCCAAACACACCTTAAAGAAGCGAAACCCGAAACCAAACCCACTTTTCAGGTTTTCCTCGAAACAGAACAGTAATGAAACCCCCCTAAGGAAACGGGGGGCGTATAGCGCAATTAATTAAATGCATGAACCCTTTTCAAAAAGGATAACGGCTGATAAACGGTCCAATGACCCCTGTTGAAATTCACCCACTCAAACTGCCCCCCATGTTGTGTCCTTGGAAAGACTGAATGGGGCACCACAACGACACTGTAAAATCTTTGTTAGGCAGCAAGATCCAACAAAATTATAGGCGAGTTTCCGGAAAGTAACACCCAACAGTCGGATATGAAAAGGAACCAGCCTTGATTCGGCAAACCACCCTTGAGTTCAGTTTTTTGTTCGCGGAGAAAAACGCAGTGCGCCCGTTTTCCCAAGGCTGATCTTGGGCCACTCATCGGCCGGTTGGTTCATGAACAAAGTGTCTTGACATGTGGGTGCTCTTCTATGCAAAATGCCGAACACCCCACCTGAAAAGTGATACGCTAGTGGCACTTTTTACGCCACACCTTCGTCGAAGTAGCGCCTCACATGCTCATCCCAGTTGATCTCCCATTGTCCACTCATCACCATGATGGCGAAATTGGCAAAGTCCTTCTTCTCATCAGCATTCCACTTGAACACGTGGTCGAATGCTGCTCGTGGGTCATTTCTTCCATGGATCTGGGATATGCGAGCTTGCAAAAATTCTTTCAACAAGCTAGCTGGAAAAATTTCAGCTTCTTGGACTTTTCGTCCTCTTCGTTCTTCGTCTGGTGGCAAGTACTTGTAGATGGTCTCGAGGTCGTCCCAATTGGCATCATTTGGTGGCTCACGTCGGTCGTAGTCTGACCAAACTCCTCCTGGATATGTTCTTCCATCATTGGCCTCCATGTCCACGTCCATGTTCTGGCTCTCCTCCATGATGGGGTTCTCCTGCTCTGTTCCACTTTGTGGTGTTTCTCTCTCAGACCTTGTCGGTCGATATCGTCTGTAGAGCCCTGTCGTTTCATTTCCGGTGAAGTATTCCTCACCACTCTCTGCATCTTCGGATCCTTCCAGGACTCGATACTCCCTCATTCGTTGGAGTACAGGATCCCAATCTGTTGTCCATTCACCAATCCACTCATAGTCTGCATCTTGTTCTTGGCTTTCACTTGGTTCAGTTCTTGGATCATTCTGAAATTCCACTTCTAGTTGACGGTCAGGTACTGCAGGTTGAAGTGGGTTGTCTGGAAAGATAGTGCGGCCTTCATACCTCCATTCCCTACTTGCAGCAGACCACATCTGAGCCCTCAAGAGCAAATCTCTTCCACTTCTTCTATCTCGAACTTCTTGTTCACGAGCTTCTTGCAAAATGCCTTCTCTGAGCATTCTCTCATCGTTCTGTCTCTGCATTTCCATGGTGATCTCCTGCCTGAAAAAAGCGCATGGCAGTGCGAACCAAAATGCTCAGCCGAATACGGTACTTGTAGCCAACATACATGCCCAAAATGAAAATGAACACGCTGTAAATGCAAAACCACTGGAGATACCACAAGTGACTGACGTAGTCAACCTTCATCTCCTCCTCGGTGGTCTCATTGTTGCCAATCCTGCCAAGCACGCCAGGCTGAAGCAACAAAAGCGTCACTGCGCGCACCATATTTGTTGGCACTTTTACTTGCGTTCCATTGGCTTCTTCCATCAGGCTCTTGATCATCTCGCCCTTCACTGCCTTCATTCTTCTGGCCATCAACTTCTTGCTCACCACTTCGTTGAAGGAATCTTCTCCAACTGGGGCGAAGATCTCATCACCATTCTCGGCCTTCATCTCCACCACACCAATCAAGTACATGAGAAATTCTCTCCTCTGCCTTGTCAGCCTCTTCGTTCCCAAATCGGAAACATTCCAGAGCGTCGGGATGCCAGCCATTGTGAGAACTTCTTTCTTGACTTCAAGCTGCATCCACAAATAGCGGGTGTCAATATGTTTCAACCTCCCAACTCCAAGCCGCTCTGTGAAAGCTCTGCACGAGGTACTGTCTGCGATGGATCGAATCTTCACTTCACGCTTGCTGAGGAACTGCCAAAGGTCTTTGATCTGGATGGACTCTGCTGCCCCTCCACCTCCTGCCAAAAACTCAGCCTCACAAGAGCTCAATGATATGGTCTTTTGGGATCTCGACCACCCAGCTACAAGGCATCCATTCAGAAACAACATAGCTGAGCTCACAGAATGTCGTCGTTTCTTCTCACTGGACTTATCAGTCACTGTCCGTGAATGCCTCCAAGAGGTCGAAGTCACCAAGGTCGTCGGCCATATTGAGGATCCCAGCCTTCTTGGACTTGTTCTTGGTGTAGGGAAGCAACAGGCCGTAGTTCTCGGTCCTTTTCAAGTAGCAAATCACATGCTTGAGCTCTGTCTCAGCCTTTCTTGTAGGCATGGCCATGAATTGTGACAGGTTTCTGACGCAATGCTGCATGTCAATCCTGTCCTGAGAGATGTACAGGAGTGTGCCAAGTGCCGAACGAAAGCGGTGTTGATCTCCACCTTGAAGTCTGTCTTCTGGACCTCCTTCCAAATCAACTTGGGTGCTTTCTGGAGTTGCCTTGCCTGCTCGATTGGTGAGATTGTACAACTCCAAAAGTCCTGGGACATATCGCTCATGTGGCATGATCACCAGGCCTTCTTTGGTGAAGAAATGCCTCTTCTTCAGGCATCGAACTGCCTCATCCGCAGGCTGACCACCTCGAGGAAGGATGCCAGACTCGCTCAGCACAAACTTACCCTTCATCTTG